GTAATACACCTTTTCACAGTTTCGATAATTGTTCTGGAGATTTTTAATGTGTCGTAAGTGTTCAAAATAATTCTCATTTTTAGTCGGGTTCATTTTCTAGTTTTGGAACTCAATAAATTTAATGTAATTAACTTAAGACTAAACCCGATCATTTTATATATTTATTCTTTTAAACACTCAATAATTACATAAACTATAGGTAAAAGTATTAAAAAAAACAAAGCACATTTAAGTATTTTCTTGCATCGTTCTTGGAATGTTTTCCTCCATCAGCGTTCTAAATACTTCTCTTTGTTCCTTTAAATTCCAGTGTTGGAACGATTGTTTTAAGATCGCCGCAACATTGGCCTCCAATGCTTCCTGAGGGCGTGCAATTATAATTTTCTTACCCTCGATCATAAATTGGAGCATGTTTATATCAGCTTTCTTACACATTATCATTACCTCACCCACAAATGATCGTTGATTCATTAAAGGCATCTGAGTCCGTATAATCGAGTAACATATGGGGTTGTTTAAAAGCCTGATAAATAGATTTAACTTGTTGCGAAAAAGAATGTCTGACACAGCGTCTACTTTGAAATAAGAATGTAGATAATTTCTACTTTGCTTTGAAATATTAAAGAAGGATTTTAAGACAGATCGTCCAGCTATATCAATGCTATTTAGAAGCTTATTGCTGCTTCCACACAGTTCTAATCCGTATAACAACGTTGGAACAGCTAAAGAATTAAATAAATGAACTATGGTAGCAGGCTGGCAAAAGCGAAGTCCATTTCTTATAAGACCTTTTGCAACAGATAAAAATTGCGTTACACGTTCAGTTATATTTTGTTTTTGGAGTGTTGCTGTCATTTTCTTGTTCTTATTATCCCAAAGGAAACCAAGATGTTTTAGATTGTTTTGAGGCTTGATAGGATCACCGTTATTATAAATAACGTTAATTAAAATCGAACTTATTCCAGATATTAGAAATTCAGTTTTTTCTGTATTCAGTTTAATAAAGTTCGATAGTCCATACTTTTGAACAATGTTAATAAGGCTCTGAAGACCAGATATAGTGGAACTTTGTAAAACTATATCATCAGCATATGCAATGATACCTGTGTATACACCATTTATTGAAGTTCCAACTTTTGATTCTGAAACAATTTTCTCTAGAAGGTTCTCTGTGTAGATATTGTAGAGATGAGGCGACAGTATGGATCCTTGACGCACTCCCTGAGACAGCCTAAATTTGTTTGATGTACATCCAAGATATGATATATTAGAAGTTCCTGTTTGATATAGTGATAATATTGTATGAACTATAGATAATGGGATTTTTTTCTGGTAATAGAGTTTCTCGAATAGTAATTCCCAATTACAACTGTCAAAAGCTTTGTTGGCGTCTAGACTGCATATATATAGCGGTGAGTTATTATGATTATAGTGCTTTATTGTTTCACTCAGAAGAAATTCTGCGTGGAGGGTAGAGCTGTTTTCTTTAAAACCGAATTGATGGGAATGACTTTCTGTTATATCTGGACATATGTGTATGATAAGATATTCGAGAAGTTTTGTAAAAATTGGTATAATGCTGATTCCTCGATAGTTATTTGGATTTTCTAGTGATGTTTTATAAGACTTGACTAATGGGATAATTTTGGCGGTTGATAAACCGTGTGGAACCTTTCCATTTGTTAACATATTGTTATAAAACGACGAAAGTAAAATAAGAAGATTCTTGTTGTGAGAGTTTTTAAGATGTTCGGCACTGATTTCATAGCAATCGTAAGATTTATTATTTTTAAGCTTTAAAATACATTTTTCAATATCAGCTGTCGAGATAACTTTTGAATTAGGCTCTTTACTTAAATGTGGAATTTGGAGAGGATTGAACTCGTTATTTGTATATTGCGGTGTATTAAGTAGTTTTTGGAAATGATGACTAAATTCTTCGACGATTTCGTTTTTGTTCTGCAATTTATTAATTGTAAAGAGTCGATTGTTAGTATTTTTTTTGATTTTTCGAATATTACCCCAAAACCTTTGAGGATTTGTATTGCGTAAGTGTTCTATATTTTTAGTTTTTTCGTGAATTTTTTTGTTATGTGCCGCTTTTACAGCTTTACGAAAGTTTTTTCGGGAATAAGTAAATCTTTTGTAGGATATACATTCTGTTGACTTATTATAGCCTGATTTTTGCCATTGTCTAAAGTGAAAGGAGAGATTATCTTTAATTTTTTTAAGCTCAGGTGTCCACCAAGGTTTCGAGTACTTATAAAATTCTTTTTGTCCGAAACATTGTTTAACTGCCAAGAGAGCTGCATTTTTTATATATAAGCATGTTTTTTGAATTTCTTCTTCTATTTTATCTTCCTTAAATGCGTAACTAGTAAATGCTTTTGATAGATTGAGATTATAAAAGTCAATAAACCTTTCGTTATTCCATGCATGTTTTGGTATTGAATTATATTTTTGCATTATATTATTTATTTCGTGTGATAAGCCGGTACCTTCAAAGTTAATATTCGTAGACACCGGAAGGTGATCACTAAGGTTAAGCGGTGAAGATTGCATAACTTGACAGTTTGTAAAACATAGTTCTGTCTGTTTATAGGATGCAATATGGTCAATGTAAGAAGAATTAGAAAGAGTTTTATGTTGATAGGTATAAGTAGGCCCAGCACCGTTGATTATATCGACAAAAGCGAGCTGATTTGATTCAATAAAATTAGTGAGATGTTTTGAGAAATTGTTCCTAGTTTTGTTTTTACGAAGCTCTGAATCATATATTTTATATGGAAATGACTGAAAGTCTCCGGAAATAATACATTCTCCTTCATCCTCATAGTTGTTCATTATTGAAGTGATTGTTTGTAACTGAGAAGAGTATTTTGCGTATGATTCGTTATTATTACGACAAGATGAAAGGTAAACACCAATAAAAATTAAGTTACGATTGTTAAGTGTGCCTTTAATAGCAAGAATGTTTTCATCTTCATGTATTATGTAAAAAGACGACCATTTTTTTCGTACCATAAAAGCATTTCCTCCATATGGTCTACCGTGTGTATTTTTTTCTGCCGCATGAAAAAAAACTTTGTGTGTTAGTAATGCAATGTTATTTAACAAAAAACTCTCAATATTTAAAAGCCAATGTTCTGATATAAAAATAATATCGAAAGACTTTAACAACTTAGAAATATAATATGAATTCGATTTAAAGCTTTGACAGTTATATGCACATAGCGTAATATTTGTGTTAGTTACATTTAATTCTTTTTCTCCCATTATGATTTCAATTTTTATTGTTGCATAAATGCTGAAGAGTGGTGTAAGAATTGTGGCAAATGATTTTCGGTATTTTGATGTGGTTTTTCGATTGTTAGTGCTTCTCGCCGCATTCTAAACGGTTTAACAATAATGTTGTTATCCCAAACATCGGGTTTAAGTACCATTCCTTTTTCAGTACTATTAATTTTTACTTTGAAAGAGCGGTTGTACATGTTTTCTCTATTAAGCTTTATGTCTAAAGGAGTAATACCTATTTCTTTATTCATGTAGTTTTATGTATAAAAACTTATAACTTTTGAAGCGTGCAAACAAAACTTCTAAGTAGTTATACGGAGTAAGATGGACGTGAAGCTTTGAGATTTCAGATCTTTTTCTCAAGAGTTCCCCAAGTGGTTAGCGATTATTAGCGTAGGTAGTAAAAAAATTGTTTCAAATTGCGGACGTGGAAAGTTATTTATACTTACGCGCAATTCGAAAACAACTAAAACCTACTTTTAGTGCATGCTCAAAAATTTTTACCAACTGAATTTGTTATTATTATGTTATTGCAAAACAGTTAAACTAGCGTTATTATTTTTTCTAAAAAAAGTTAGCATTGATTATTATAAATATGAATTTATTATTACTTTCATCAGGCCCGCCGCGTCCCATTATGACGCCTGGGGTCAAAATTTATCTAGCGCCCTGTCATATTGACCTAATCAAAAAAAATGTAGGTAATGTGCAAATGCTAGGTTATTTTTTTAATTTATACTTTTTAAAACTCTTTAAGAGGCCGAGTAGGTAATTACAGTCGAGAAGGCTTCTATATATTTTTTAAATAAGTTTGTAAAAAGGTAAAGAAAAAAGCACAAGTTGACAAATGAACTTTATTGCGAGCAACTGTAAATTTTAAATGTAATAGATATTTTAAATGCATTATAAGATATTGACTCTCCGTGCTTTATTTAAAGCAAAATTTTCAATGACCTCGTCGTAGCACAGACTTTTTGCTAGATCGTGCTCAATGGATGTAACTAAGAGATTGGTAAGCCGGTCTTGACTCATCGTAGATCTTAGTGTTGTCTTGACTAGACCAAGCTTGCTGAAAGACCGCTCTCCTTCGGCGATGGAAACGGGAATTGTGTTAAAAATACGTAATAAAATGCATGTTGATTCAAAGATAAACTCTAGACCCTTTTTGATAAATTCCAATTAATATTTTGATTGAAGTGAGATATTCTTTTGGACCGAAAAGATTATCACGCTTCAGAGTATCCAGATGACGGACCTCTAAAATAAGTTCGTCTTTATCTACATCGTTTACATACATTTGCGCCAAAGTTTTACATTTTTCCTCCAGGCTAGGTTGTTCAATTTCTTTACCCTCACTCGACCTACTATTAGATTCTGAGAGCCATAGAAAAGAAAAACTGTTAGTTGTCTTTTCTGTCTTTTTCTTATATTTGTTGAATTAAAGTATCGAAAGCGGTGTTGAATACATTCACCTCAAACTGCTTTTCATCGTTACTAAGAAATGAACTTGCTTCCTTGCTTCTTTGTCAAAAGTTTTCCTCTTTCTTGTCCTTTTTTAAACTAGTTTTGACTGAAACTCATAACTAGCTAGACCGGAGGCAACTAAATGTACTTCATTAATTAATTCAGGCCAAGAAGATCTAAGTCTAGTAAGAATCTTCATAAGTTTCATCTCATCATCTAAGGTAATGTTTTCTGATTAAAATGTCACGCTGACATAGTTTATTGCTTGCAGCGCTTTGAACCAGAAGGTTGTCATGATATTAAACTCAAATGACTGAATCCATTTCTCTAATGATTTTATCAATAGATCAGCAGTTAAATCAAGATCACGAAGTTTCTGCAAAGGTAAAAGAATTTCTCTGGGTCGCTCAACCAAGGGCTTCACAGCCTTAATGCGTGCACTCCATCGGGTTTGTGAAGTTTGATGTAGAGACGAACCAGTCGTCTCGGTCAAGATTTTTCATCGTATAGGACTTTCACTAAAAAGATTGTAGAGTAACTGATTACGACCAAAATAGTTCTTTATTTCTACAGAAGATTCAAGGGAATGAACACCAGCTAAATTAAGGTTATGAGTGCTGCATGGCATGTAGAAAGCTTGAGGATTTCTCTGAAGGATGATTGCTTGTACTCCTTTGTACACACCAGACATATTAGCACTGTTGTCATATCCCTGACCTCGACAGTTCTTCAGATCAATGTCATTTTGATTTAAGACATCTATAATAGGCTCAGCAATATCCACACTTTTCTTTTTATCGAGACTTTCGACCCCAAGAAAGCGCTTCTTAACTACCTATTTTTTATCAATACCATAGTAGCCAAAGCGGAGAGCAAATGCAATTTGCTCTGTATGAGAGACGTCAAGCGTTCCGTCGACAAGAATAGAATAGTAAATTGCCATATGCGCCTCTTTAATGATGGCACCGTAGACGATTCTTCCGCACTCTTTTATAAATTCATTTTAAGAACTTCAACCCAAATAATGCGCAATAATTTGTTTACCTTCTTGTTGGCAGCGAGAAACCTCTTCTAGATGTAACTGAAGAGTCTTGTTGTGCTTTGCAAGTAGCTCTAGAGTTGCAAGAAAGTTGCCGTTATCGTCATCACCGATCATTTTTGATGATCCTAAAATATCGATTTTAATTACACATAGAAATCATGACTTTCCGTTTAATTAAAAGTAAAAATAAATTATAACGTAAACATAAATATAATAATTAATGTTCACAAATATACCTCTGAAGCTAAGGTTGCGTGATGCTAAAAAGAGAACTACATCTAAAATGCACTTTAAAATTTCACGCCACCTTGCTGCCTCATTTCTTATCAATTTTTCTAAACTTGAATCAATCCCACATTGATTTCCCAAGCACTCCAGCGTTGTTTTTCACTTAATGTAATTGTCTCGATGGTAAAAATTGTTTTGGTGGCCTTTTACTTTTTCAGCTAGCTTTCTCCAGTTTCCATTAATGCCACCATTCCAACGTAGAAGATGTAAATTATTACAAGCCCCGAAGGCTTGTTTGCTTTCGAAAAGTGAGCACGGAAAGCAAAAAAATGATTTTGAAGTTGCACTCCAAACAAGCCAATCTCTGTTTATTTTCTCCCCATTACGAGTTATTTCGTGGAAAACTGATTCAGAAACCTTAATCTTGTTTGAGTCTCTCGGAAAAGATTAAGGATTTTTAGGAGGCCCCTGAAGAACAGCTGCATCGCGTTCTACTTTGGACATATTTTCAGCCCACAAAGCAGGATCGTTTGTAGTAATTGCCTCATCCAACTTATCTTAATGCTAATAATTTAAATAAAGATATTAATAAGTATATAGTTTTCACAAATTCACAAAAATAATAAAAGAATCTTTGCTTATTAAATTTTGCCAAAATATTGTTTTCATTTTCAACTCTTGTTGCCGATATTGCCAACGTGCCACTCGAAGGAGGAAGTGGTTCTTCTGAGTTCAACAGACTCGTTTTCAAAGCTATCCTATAGAAAATAAAGTTAAATATTCCAAAATGTCTTGTTTTATATAATCATAGTATAATAAAAAAGATATATAAAAATGAAGGTTATGTTTAGATAAATGAACTTATTATTCCAAAAGCTTGACGTGATTGAAGAGGAATTTATAGATATCAATCTAGAAACTGTAGCCCTATCCCCGTCATTTTTTTTTAACTTGTATACCACAATCTTCGAGGGTTCGTTTATTTTTTTGCTCATTTGCTGTCCTATTTGCCGCATTTTTTCTGTTTTGACAGCCAGATTATTTTTTCTTGAAACTGGACATGTTTTTTTTTAGAAAGTTTTGAACTTGATTGAAAACTATTATTATGATACTTAGTAAAACTATATTAAATGTAAGAATCTCAATTATACAATGTACTTTAACCTTATTTATCTATCTATCTATATATATATATATATATATATATATATATATATATATATATATATATATATATATATATATATATATATATATATATATATATAAATATATATATATATATATTATATATTTTCTTTATATATTTATATATATATATAATATATATTTTCTATATATGTTTATATATATATATATATATTTATATATTTACATATATTATAGTATATATATTACTGTTACCCGCAGTATCAGGAATTAGCTAAATGCTAATATTTATAATATTATATTGCGACTTAAAGTTTCATGTGTTACCACAATCATCAGGCAAGTAGTCAAAAGTACAATGTGTTTAGAAAAAAATTTACGGTTTATATTAGTATTTTAGATCGTTATGGGACGGAAACTGTTTAGTAGTTAAGGTTAATGTTATTATTAATTTCTTATTGGTTAATATATGTGAAGTTGTTGTATGTTTTAATGTTTTTTATAAAAATACGATTTAATAATAATGTTAATTGTTTTTAAAAATTATTGTATTTAAAATAAATGAATTTAAAAATAAGTTTCAAAAGTGGGTATAAGAATATAAATTCTATTACGAAATATATTACAAAAGCTGTATGTAAATAATTTATTGGTTAGCTTAGAGGTGTACGAAATAGGGTTGCGTAGTTATTGTTAGTGGTTAGTTATGTTTGTTGCAAGCTTTGTAGTTTTTTAATAAAAACTTGTTTTCGTGGCGGCACTTTGATATGATTTCGGTTCGTTTATTTAGGAGTTCATCAGGTTTAGGATAGGATATAATTGCAAATTTCTAGTATAGACATAGTGGGCACCTTTTGGAAATATTTGAGTAGGGGGTACAGATTTCAGAATAGACCATGTAAATATTGGGGTTTCGTTAAAATTGTTTTTTAAATCCCAGACGTAGTTTGATAAGGCGGTGGACTTTTTGTATTTAATATTATTGAATGATGATTTGTGGTTGTTGTATCTGCTTTTCTAATCGCCTTCCTTTAATCCAATATACACTTTGTTGGGCTAATTTTTAGCTGCGATGATACATTTATATATAACGTTTGTG